AGACTGCCAGCTGAAACATGGACACAGTTGGTTGGCGTAGCCTGGGCAATGTTGTCAATCCGACAATAGCAGAATGAGGAGGTGCGACGCGAACACTGGCGCGGTAACCATAGCACGGTGATAGAGGAAAAGCTTCGCCAACCCGAGCGTCTGTTCACCATGGAGGTGCGGCTCAAACAGCGTCTGACTGGCATCCAGCGGCTGAATTAGAAATGCTCTTCTCCGGAAGCTACACCTAAGATGGCAGCCCCATCACGGCGGATAGGAGACCTTAGGCCAACCACCTACTGTCTCTGAAACCTTCACAATTGTTACAGAAACCAACAGAGAAAGACATCGAACTGATTTAACGGCAATGACTTTTAGCGCAAAACAACGGACACGAATTGGATCATGGAATTTATTGACGTTAGCCCAACAGGGTAAACTGGCACAATTCGCCAACGAGGCGCGACGCATGAAGCTAGAAATCCTGGGACTGAGTGAAGTTCATTGGCCAAACTTTGGAGAACACAAACTGCCGTCGGGACAGGTACTGCTATACTCTGGTATTCGAGGTGAAAACGCTCCCCGCCATCGTGGAGTTGGTCTCCTACTTAGCGTCCAGGCAAGTGCTGCGCTCATCAAGTGGGAGCCTGTTAATGAGAGGATAATCGTTGCCAGATTTAGAACACGGGTTCGCAACCTTACCATAATCCAATGTTATGCGCCAACCGATGCTGCCGAGCTACAGGACAAGGAGAATTTTTACAGTCAACTGAATGCCGTCGTGGATAAAGTTCCAAAGGGTGACATCAAGATCTACACTGGCGACTTCAATGCGAAGATCGGCTCCGACAACACGGACTATGAGCGTGTCATGGGACGCCATGGTCTCGGCGAAATGAGCGAGAACGGTGAGCTGTTTGCAGAATTTTGCGGCAATAACGACATGGTGATCGGGGGCTCGCTCTTCCCCCATCGGCCAGTGCACAAAGTCACGTGGGTTTCCCGTGATGGACATACCGAGAATCAGATCGACCACATCTGCATCAGCCGAAAATGGAGACGGAGCCTTCTTGATGTCCGGAATAAACGCACCGCCGACATCACGTCTGACCATCACCTTCTAATCGGTGAAATCCGCCTACGCATGGTGCGGATTCAGCGGCGGGAGGAGGGACTCGGGCGGCGGTTCAACACACGCCGAATTGAAGATCCAGCGGTAAAAAGGTCTTTCGTTGAAGAATTTGAGATTCGAGCTGCGGACGTTCCAGAAGGTGGCAGCGTAGAAGTACAATGGACGGCCATCAAGAATGCCTTTATAGAAACAAGCGAGAACAACTTGGGTGAGCTGCGCACCCAGAGGAAAGAGTGGATCACAGATGAAACCTGGCGGAAGATTGAGGAGCGTAGAGAAGCAAAAGCCGCGATAGAGCAGGCGAGAACCAGAGGAGCCAAGAACGAAGCCCGAAGGACAATTGCTTACCGACCCCACTGACCAGCTGAAACGCTGGTTTGAGCACTTCGAACAACTTCTTCAAGTTTCGACGGCCAACCAGCCATCAACATCTCGGCATGATCCACCTAGGGTGCGGCGCATCACTCGCGTCAATTCCGAGGCCCCATCACTGCAGGAGATTGAAGCAGCTATCCGAAGCATGAAATCCAACAAGGCTCCTGGGGTCGATCGCATATCAGCAGAGATGCCCAAAGCTGACCCCATGCTATCCGCACAAATGTTGCATCAACTATTCTGTAATATCTGGGACACCAAGACTTTTCCGGCCGACTGGATGCAGGGCATCTTAGTGAAGGTCCCAAAGAAGGGGGATCTGACTGTGTGCGACAATTGTGTATTGTTCTCAAAGTTCTGTGCAAAGTTATCCTGAATCGGATACAGGAGAAGATCGACGCAACTCTCCGACGGCAGCAGGCAGGATTCCGTGCCGGAAGATCTTGTGTGGACCATATTGTCACGCTCCGCATCATCCTGGAGCAGGTCAATGAATTCCAAGAGTCCCTTTATTTGGTATTCATTGACTACGAAAAAGCTTTCGACCGTCTCAATCACGAGAATCTGTGGGGCGCCCTGAGACGCAAGGGAGTTCTGCATAACGGAGCCTTGTCCGACCCTATCCGGGTAGTCGCTGGTGTGAGACAAGGATGTATACTATCACCGCTACTGTTTCTCATCGTAATCGACGAGATCATGGTAGGTGCAATTGACCGTGTACCGAACCGTGGGCTGCTTTGACAGCCTATCACCATGGAGCATCTCAATGACTTCGATTTGGCTGATGATGTTGCTCTACTAGTACAACGGCGCTCTGATATCCAGAGTAAGCTCAATGACCTAGCCGAACGCTTCTCTGCGGCGGGTCTCACCATCAACGTCATCAAGACCAAATCGTTGGATATCAACACGGGCAACCCTTCCAACTTTACGGTAGCGGGGCAAGCAGTGGAGAAGGTCGAAAGTTTCCAATATCTTGGCAGCCAAATAGCGTCGGACGGCGGGACCAAGAGCGACATAGGTGCACGAATCAAGAAGGCTAGGGCTGCCTTTGCGAGTTTACGAAACGTATGGAGATCTAACCAGATAAGTCAACGCACCAAAATCCGAATTTTCAACTCGAACGCGAAATCTGTGTTATTATACGCCAGCGAGACGTGGTGTGTATCAGCGGAGAACGCTCAAAAGCTGCAGGTCTTCATCAACCGATGCCTGCGGTATATAATTCGTGCCTGGTGGCCTGACAACTGGATCTCGAATGCCGAGCTCCATCGTCGATGTCATCAGAAGCCGATAGCAACAGAAATTCGAGAGAGAGAAAGTGGAGGTGGGCCGGCCACACACTTCGACGGGGCGGAAACGAAATCTGCAAGCAAGCGCTGGATTGGAATCCGGCAGGACATCGCAGTAGAGGCAGACCCAGGGGCTCATAGCGGCGGAGCCTCAATAAGGAAATTAAGCAAGTCGATAGAAATCTGACCTGGGCCCAGGTCAAGGCAAAAGCGAGCAGCCGCCCAGGATGGAAGTCTTTCACGTTGGCCCTTTGCACCGCTGGTGGTGCACAGGAACCTTAAGTTAAGTAAGATGGTTTACCAAACCTGTATATAAATGACCATTTTAAGTCTGTTATCTGACGCTTAGCATCTTCAACTATTTATTTGATATTTTATTAAATATGATGATAGCTGAATAATATCTAAAGAAAGTTACAAAATAAGATATCATACCACATTAATATATTATATGATATCGGTCAGTTATCAGTTCTTGCTCGGGGTCAGTTATTATAATAACATAATTATTTATTGGTTCGTTATTCAGAGAACATTTCTGGGTCATTCTAGCTCAAGTGGGTTCAGAATTTAAAAAAGTTGTGGTCGATGCATCATGAGAAAAATAGTATAAAAATATTATTGTTCCATCGTCGTGAAGGAATTCAAGAAAGAAAAAAAATCTTAAATAGCATTGATTTTCCACCAGTAAAACTCAAAACTACCACACACTCATCTGTTCATATCTCAAAAACTATTTGTCCAAATCATTTGCCCTTGGAAACACATCAATTGGAAGAGTTTTTCTTAGTGTGGTGAAAATATTAATTATTATCTATTAAATATTATTATTATTTTTTGACAATTTGGTAACTGCTGGTCATCAGTCTGTTTACTTTAGTTACTATAGCAAAAACAAAATGTGGGTACACTTATGTAAATCTACATTAAAAACATTTAAATTTACGTTCTAATATCACGAAAAGATCATTTGGTTCCCAAGTAACCAACAAGCCCGCTAATTCGCCTTTTTGCAATAGAAGGCTAATATGCGGCTAATATAAAGCTTTGCATGCCCTATGTCAGCCGTGTATCAGCCTTATATTGCAAAAAGGCGAATTAGCGGGCTTGTTGGTTACTTGGGTAATCTCTTCTGAAAGATAAATTTTTAAAAAATCTCGAAAATCCAGGGTTGTAGCCGAGAAGGATCTAGGCACTTCAGAACAAAATCAAAAAGTGTTTCGGCCAAGTTTTGCTCAAATCGGTGACATCGACCTTAAGTGGTGTACCCACTTGAGCTGGAATGACCCTTATAAGGTATTATTTTTGGTATGTCAAACTCGTCAATAACATAATTAGGTTGCCAGTTATGCTATTTTCATACCTGAATTTGAAGTTTTTTTTTGCTCCCGCTCAGGAATCTTTAGGTACCAACATACCACTACTAGCAAAAAGGGTAGGACAACCCTACTTGGGCGGCACTATTCGAACCTTTCCCCCGGTGCTGCCTTGAACTTTTCCCTCTTCTACAGGCAATTCAACCATCCTGACAACATCTCAAAAGTCGGATACTACTAAAACCATCTTCAAAAGAAACGGAATCATGTCCAGAAATAATATTATGCCTCCACAGTTCATCAACAAACACCAGGCATGGACATGACTTGTATTGCAATGTACTCCAAACCAACAAGACCAATCATATTGGGCTTCCACCTCGTAAGAGCTTGTAAGCCTCTGCATCTGCTTGATTGTTCCGGGAAATGCCAGTGATGATGAATTATTTATGTTGTGTTTCGTTCTAGAACCATTGCACATCAATGCACCGAAATTGCATCGGACGAGTTCCATATGTTTTCCATTCTTGCTGGGATGTGAAATGACTATCAAGAGAGGCATCTTTTATGCAAAATGTTTTCTTTTTCACAATCAATGTCCTTCGATATATCTATGGGGTGGTAGATTGGCCAACGATTGTGGGTTTGAGGGAAACGTGTATCAATCGATTGGAACCCGTATTGTTTTTGCTGTACAGCAAAAACGAGGATCTAAGCTAAGAAATTGATGTAGGTAGGTGCCGCAATTTTGTTTAGATAGTATGACAAGATAATGCTATAAAAATTAAAGGCTTTCGACTCAAACAATTCGAAAGAGCGCCTTGTTGCTACCTCATTCTCAATTCCCCATAAAACAGAGCAGTATAAAACATCCCGTAAGAAGCTTGGACCACCTACCTTTTCGGAGTGATTGATATATTTTTTGCTGCTAGTTGTTGCTTACTCGCATCGTTCAAATTCGGTTCAGTCTGCTTGGTTGGTACGTCCCCACGGTAGTTGGCGTTCGATTTACCCTGGGTCGCCCTTCGATCACCGTCGTTTCCGGTTTTATTGTTAACACTTTTGTTGCTGGTGCTGGAACTGCTTCCTCGGGAGGAACTTCCACTTCCACTGCTGCTGTCTCTACTGCTGCTGCTGCTGCTGCTCATGCTACTCATGTCCGCTACCTCCTCCGTCGTCGCAAAGTATGGCAGTAAAATGGTACAACCCCACCTTCGATATGCCTCCTGGAATGGTAGATGGAAAGAAACGGACAATCGTGGATTAAACATTTATTCTCCGACAGGTTGGGAAGTTGATTTTTATTACAGCCAAGAGTTATTGTCCTGCTGGGGTGCTTAAAACTTGTGGGAAATCTTGCTACATCAAACTTGAATGCTGAAAAACCATCAAAACAGAGAGAAGAATTGAATGACAATCGCCCCAAACAGGTGTTCAAACTGAATTAACTATTTGTTTGCATGTTCACTGCCAAATAACATGACACGGTTGTCACCGAATGCTTGCATAGCAAACACAACCGACCAACAGTCATCCATCGTGTCTCACAAGGAGTCAAGGAAGTGCATGAAAAAGGAGCTAGTAGCGCTTGGTTGAGTCTTTGACACACTCTCGGTGCTCGAGGCCAAACCCCATTCTTCTTCGACAATTTTCCTCTCGAAGTTGTGCAGCAAGGTGATGTGCAATGCCATACCACCGCATCATCACCATCATCATCATCATCAAACTACACGCCACCTAAATTGCACCGGAATGATGCTGCAGCATGTCTTGCGAAACCACCAGCTAGCTCCATATATTCGGGAAGACGGAGAAGACCGTCCAGGCCGAGAAAGAAAAATGCTCGTTGCAAATGGTGGCTGGTGGCAACCGCAATCGTTATGTTTAACCTCCAGTTGACCTATTTTTCGGCGCTGGGTAGTGAAAATGATAATGCATTCATTTAAATATTTAGCTTCCATGATTGTATCAACACTGGAAACTGTGTACTTGCACACAGGCTCTGGTCCGTGTGCTGGCTATATAGGCTAGGAAGGTATGAAGCAGAGTTGTAAGACAATGTCGAGTTGATGGCCAGTTGTGTGTTCAGGTTCGCAGGATCCAGCATAGGGTAGAGCGCCACTTCGTCGTAATCATCCATTTCCAATCAATAATACGTTTGTTCCGTTGCGTTAGTTCAAGCCTATCAAAGCGCATTGTATGAATATTTACACTCATTGTTCTCAAAAACAAAAGAACGGCTCGTAGGGAATAATTTTTTTTTTCTGCATTCATTGGACGCTGAAAATCAAAGGAAAGGAATTAAATCTAGCAGGAAAAAAATAATAACGCTGTCGGATTGCATCCAATTGAGTTGACGTCTTGAGTGAAGTTTTTAGGATAAATGAGGGCTACAATTTGGTGGAGAAAAATAGTTCAAGTTTTAGCCACAAAGATGACGCAGTGATACACCCTGCCCTTTGGTTCAGTGAGGGTTAAATAGGACGCGTTTTGCCTCGTTGGTCGTGGTAGATTTCAAGAGTGAGTAAGTGATGACACTGGAGTTCCAACCCAAGCCACAATTTTTGTTTTATTTAAGTTTTATAGCAGTTGATATAACCAAATTATAAAACCTTCACTGACGACCACATTGCTTTAACAATCTCCTGAGAACCGCAATACAGCCATGTCATGGCCAATTGGCCCAGTTTTAATGCAGTCATTAAAACTTGATATGCGAACTACTTTAGGAGCATAGGATTTATGTCAGTTTTATCACACTCTAGACGTGATTGTTAAAAATGAAAACATAAAACCTCCTCCAGGTCAGAAAGTTTTAACAGCCTTCTAATGACTACCATAAAACTATATTACATCCGCATAAATCGCTCCTGAAGAAGTTGATAAAACATGATACGCAAAACATTTTGACAACTTTGAAGGTTTTAAGTTGGGGTTTTTGGATGATAGTTAATATTGAGAAATATTTTATTGTGGTTTTATTCTTTCGATGTTTGATGTGAAATCATGATCCTTGTCAGTTGGTAATAATGGCTGATATTATTGTACATTGAAAATAAGACGACTTTATTATAATTTTAAACCAATCTGTATATGCTTCACAGCATGCCGTGCAATATTTATGGTGATTATTATACCAAATAGGAGCATAAATTTAGTGCGCCATATGAATACTAAAATATAGGGATATTTTTAATTTGTCTGCATTAGCACCATGCATTAAAGAGTCATTCAAAGATTATCTATTTAGTACAAAACTGTTACTACTGTTGAGCAATAACCAGTCACATATTATTTAATTATACATAGATGTATGAAAGTGTTTTATTGCCTATCAATTAAAGCGTAATTATTCATACTGTGTGAAATTTGTTCATACGGCGACATTTTTTTTCGTTATAACTTGCTACTCCTTAAAAATACCTCAATATAACTTATTCTCCTAGATTGGAATTCTATAGCATAACATAAACCTAATGGTTGTATCTTAGCATTTCGTAGTCCAAATTGAGAGCGTTAAGTTATATTCAAGCTATATAACTAGCTTGCTGGTTTTATTCGGTACAGCGAATCAAAACAAAACAAAAACCATGACCACCTGTCAAAAAGTCAACATTCCAAGCGATCCTCCTATTTTCGCTTGTAATCAAGATGTAAGAAATGCTTATTGGATCCACTAAAAGCTTTTTCAATACAAGGTTTAAAGCCGTGATGTCAATACTGGCCATCTCCAAACGGATTTAGTGAAACTGTCGGCGTTGCTTTAAGAAGGGTTCGTGGATCTTTTCGGAAGTGTATTGGAAAGCCGCTTGTTCAATATTTTTAAGAGCTCCTTCACCGCACTGTGCCTTATGTAGGGATCGTATAACTGTAGTTCCTCCAGGAGTTTCATATTGTCGATCGTCTCATCTTCATCGTGTTCAGAAGCACTGAAGGGGTTTTCATTTCATATATCTGAATAGATTTGTTTTTTATAATGACAAAAAATTTCAAAGTATTTTTTGTTGTAGCAGTATATTTCTTATCTGTGAATCTTAGGCCTATGATAAAGATGATAGTTGTAATGAAGCTTTAATGAAGGTCTAAGACTGCTTCAAGTTTTATATCGGTCATAAAAAGTGTACCATAAAACATAATTGTATGTTTTGTTTTGGTTTTATTCTTCAGTTATAAGTAGTGATGCAGAACCACCTTACAGCTACCGTTAAAACTATGAAGTCTGAGTTTTAATTTAGTAGTCATAAAACAGTTTTATAGACGACTTGACGGCCTGATTTTATGACAAGCACACAAAACCGTAATACAACCACAGGCAGGAAGGGATGCTATGATAAAACAATGATAAAATAAGAATAAATCTTCCAAGCATTTAGACTGTTACTTGGGAAAGAGCCTGAACGAAATGTGGCGCTTGCGATGATCACTTGAAGATACGATATGACGGAACATTGATAGTAATTGAATAAAGTACAAGTAAATGCTTCTAGAAATTAGTTAAGATCACATATTGAAAAATGTGTTAATTGTTATTCAACAAATTCAATGTTGCATTGAAATACTTTCAATCGTTTAAATATTCCCTCATTACACAACCGTTGAACCGTTCTGAACGGCCATCCCGTTGTGGTCATATCACATCATTACTAATAATGTACATATGGGAAATGGCTCTAATGTTGGCCTGGTGGGACCATGGTCGTATGCTGACAGGGAAGGGAGGGGGGAGTCCTCTCTCCGGAGAGTGCCGTATTCGAGCGTCTGTTCACCATAGAGGTGCGGCTCAAAACGGCGTCTGTTCTCCATGTTAGGAGCGGCTGATCTACGTCCTGGTGCCAGCGTGGGACTCTAAACAGTGCTGTGCACGGTGGTCCCCCGGCGAGACAATGGGGGTTGGTGCAGGCCCTACAAGCCAGCCGCAAAAAAACAAAAGTACTGGAAGCAAGCAATGTAAGTACGGACCGGAACAATCGGCATAGACCCAAGCAACGGAAATGGACTAACGATTGGAACCTCGGAACATGGAACTGCAAGTCTCTCAATTTCTTGGGAAGGAATTGTTGACGATCAAAGGCCGTTTCTTCAATGTCAGCATAATCAACGTGCACAGCCCTCACTTAGCAAGTGACGATGACGATAAAGACGCTTTTTACGCGCAGGTCAAGGGAAAACGCGTGTAAATCGGTGAAATCGTTTATTTAAAAAATCAAATTAAATTTCTTTTTCAAGTTCAATTAGTATAAAATTCAGGAAAAATATTCAGTTAGGCTTCCACTTTTCCAAATCCGAATTGCCGGGCCTTACGCTTGACCCCTGCCATCAGATTTTGTACAGCCACCTTGTCCACCTTCTTCGCCGCAGAAAGCCAGTTTGCCTTGAACTGCTGCTCGCCCTTAGCAGTTTTTTTGGTCTTCTTTAGGTTCCGCTTGACAATAGCCCAGTATTTCTCAATTGGGCGGAGCTCTGGCGTGTTGGGAGGGTTCTTGTCCTTGGGAACCACCTGCACGTTGTTGGCGGCGTACCACTCCATGGCCTTTTTACCGTAATGGCAAGATGCCAAATCCGGCCAAAACAGTACGGAACAACCGTGTTTCTTCAGGAAAGGCAGCAGACGTTTATTCAAACACTCTTTCACGTATATTTCTTGGTTGACAGTCCCGGAAGCTATGAAAATGCTGCTTTTCAAGCCACAGGTACAGATGGCTTGCCAAACCAGATATTTCTTTGCGAACTTTGACAGTTTCATGTGCTTGAAAACATCTGCTACCTTTCCCCTTCCTTTTGCCGTATAAAACTCCTGTCCCGGAAGCTGCTTGTAGTCGGCTTTGACGTAGGTTTCGTCGTCCATTACCACGCAGTCAAACTTCGTCAGCATCGTCGTGTACAGCCTCCGGGATCGCGCTTTGGCCGTCGTATTTTGTTTATCATCGCGATTTGGAGTCACTACCTTCTTGTAAGTCGATAGTCCGGCTCGTTTTTTGGCTCGATGCACGGTTGTAGACGATACACCCAGCTTATTTGCGGCATCTCGGAGAGAGAGGTTAGGGTTTCGCTTGAAACTACCGGCAACTCTCTTTGTCGTCTCAGCGGCTTCCGGTTTTCGATTTCCCCCCGATCCAGACTTCCTGGCTGTCGACAAACGTTCCCCAAACACTTTAATTACATTTGTAACGGTTGATTTGGCAACTTTTAGCGATTTTGCCAACTTTGCGTGCGAGTAGCTCGGATT